CAGGAAAACAAGAAGAAAAAGACTGCGAAAGAAAGAGGAGAAGAAAACGAGAATGTCTTTCCAATTCAAATTTTATGTTTTGAAAATTTTTTGTTCTTTTTTTTTGCTGAAAATTTTCACCTTTAAACTTACTTAATTGTAAATTAATATAATCAATACCTAAACAGAACTGATAAACATCAGTGCTATATTCAAAAAACCTAAGAATGCCCATAGATGCGCAAATGAAAATGATTGTCCAAATGGCACGAGAAAAACGTTCCACTGTTCGTAATTTTAATGTATTCCGATGATATTGTGTTAAAAATCTACAAAAAAGAAAAAAAAATTTTTAATTATTATTAAGAAAAAATTCTTAGTAAAAAAGAATTTTCATGAAAAAGTTTTCCGTTTTTTTTTTTTAATTTTACAAGAAAAATTTTTCCCTGAAATAAATCAATTTTATCATAAATTATAAAAATTATCTTATAATGACAAATAGTGATAAAAATACACGCAACTATTTTTTTTCAGAATTAGTAGAATTTACTTTTTCCTTTTTTTTTTTTTTTGTTTAAAAAGAAATTTCTTATTAAGAATTACCTTTTTCAATTTTCTTCCAAATATTTTATTATGTTTTTCAACAAATTTTAAAAGCATTCTTATTTTCTTTATAAATTTACTTAAGAAAAGGGGAAAAAAAAAATGCAAAATCCTTCAATTAAAGTTTGCTTTCAATAGAAACCTTCCACCAGCAAGAAGTATGCTAAACAATGTCATCATTGTGTCCATCGTATGTGGTAAAGCTTCCATTGTCGTTTGGAACATATGACACATAACGATTGACTGATTAAAACTCCTTCAAATTCCGGTAATTATTTTCAAATCGTTTGATTCTTTTGAATTTTTCAGATTAATTTTTTTTTTTTTTCGTCGAATTCTTTAAAAACTATGAAAATGGTAGTATTTTGCTTTTGAAAAGACATTTTACAACAGTTTAATGAAAAGCGAAAAATATCGTAAATCTGGTAATATTCATCACTAAGATGTATTTAAGGTAAGAAAACTTCGAATTAATAATCGATTTATTTTATACCTGATACCATCACCTATAATATAGTACCATATGGAGAAAGGTAATGGTGAAAGTAAGCTAATCCATCCACAAAATGATAATAACCATATCATGTGATATATCGGATTGAGCTAAAAATTATATTCCCACCAATAAATTTATTTAATTTTTATTCAACCAGTTCATAATTATACAAAAATTTTTACAAATTTTAGTTCTAAATTTTTGGTTTATAAAAAAAAATAAAATGAAATTAATTGAAACTGTTAGCATTTTATTCGACAATTTTTCTTCGTTTATTTTTCTTTTTCCGTCACTTTGCATCTATTCCAATTTTATTTGTTAAAACTTTTGTAAATCATTAGTCCTAAATTCTTGACTTATAAAAAGATAAATCAATTAATTAAAACTTCACGACAAAAATTTTGTAAAATAGCAAATAAGAGAAAGTAGGAAAAGAAATGAAATTTTTTCTTTTTTTTTTATTTTCCTATTGTTATTTCCGTTTTTAAATAAAATAAAATATTAACAAATAAAATAATAATCGAATTAG